TCCCCCCACATCTTAGTGTCGTCTGCAAATTTGAACAGGGTACTTTTTACCCCCTCGTCCAAGTCACTGATGAAGATATTGAACAGTGCGGGCCCAAGGATCGAGCCCTGGGGGACCCCACTGCCCACATCCCTCCAGGTTGAAAATGATCCATCCACCACCACTTTCTGGGTGCGGCCCTCCAGCCAGTTGGCAACCCATTTGACTGTGTAGGTGTCAATGCCGCAGTCCCCTAGTTTTTTAATGAGAATGGAGTGAGAGACCATGTTGAAGGCCTTCCGAAAGTCCAGAAAGACTATGTCCACTGCTACACCTGTGTCTAAGGATTTTGTGACCTGGTCGTAGAAGGCCACCAGGTTGGTCTGACAGAACCTGCCTCTAATAAACCCATGTTGATTGCCCCCAAGCATAATCTCCCCTGCTGGCCCCTCACAGACATGTGCCAGGATAACTCTCTCAAAAAGCTTACCCAGGATCGAGGTAAGACTAACTGGCCTATAGCTTCCTGAGTCCTCCTTCCTCCCTTTTTTGAAAATAGGAACCACATTGGCTCTTTTCCAGTCCTCTGGCACCACACCAGAGCACCATGGATATGGATACTAAGGCTGGTAAAAAGATACCTACAGCATGATGAAGGCTGGTACTGACTGTCACCCCTGTAGTGACACAATCTATATTGTGCATGTTGAATAACTAGGTGTTAGCTTAAAGTTAGGCTCCAAAATTCTTGTTTAGGTGCCTGTCTGATTTTTTTTCATTGGCGCCCAAGCAAAAACCAGTTGCCATTGATGGCAAAATGGGGTGACAACCTTAAAAGCCAATGGAGTTTTCTGGTTCATTGCCCACAGAACCCAGTTTGCCCTCTCTACGGAGAGTAACTCGTGTTTGTTTCTAGAGAAATCCTGTATATTTGAATGGTTTTTGTAGTATGTGTCTCGTTTTTGAAAAAAACATTGTTAAATATTGCTACATTAACTTTAGATATTTTGCAGGATATTGTTTATGGAATAATCATGAGTGTTGTCAGGCATCTGCAGTTCCCCTTGAAGTGAACTGGAAATTCATTAAAGGGATTTCTGAAAGTTTAACAGCTTTTTAAGATCAGGCTCTTATTTCTGTTTAGTTATGTGTTTGTTATGCATGGATATTTTAGGGACTATTTACCTTTGTATGTCTTTTGCATCATTAAAAAGACAAAAATTGTTACCCCTCTATCTCCCAACACCACCACCCAGAGTCTGGGGCTGACCCCACGAGCCTGCTACCAGCCCATGCCTGCTCCACCCCAGCTCAAACTGCTGCTCTCCTGGGCATACGTGTAGATGCTGCATTCGGGAGCAGTTGACTCCAGCTCAAACTGCTCTAGAGTTTATTGCGTCACCTTCATTTCACATGCAGTTGCACGCACTGTTTTTGAAAGGCAGAATGAAGAAAAACTCTTTCCCTGTATTAAGTAACTGAGTAGCAGCATCTAGGGAACAGAGCCTGCTCATTGTTCTGCTTTCTGTGGATCACTTGCAGACTTCATTTGCCCTCATGTCCATCATTTATTCCAACATATCCATCATTTGAAGGAATGCTTTCCAGGAGTTAAGTTTCAGTTTTTAAAATAATGGATATCCTACATCTTTGCTTGTTTGTTAGTTTTTTAGTTTCCTTTCAGTGTGGTGACTCCTGAGAGGTTGCACAGAATCCAGGTTGATGTAGCATTTTCTACATTATGCCCTAGTTTAGTAAATGGAATTCTAATGGTCATGGATTCCCTTCCCTCCTTCCCCTCTCCAAAAAAAAGAGTGGGGGAGGTGGGTCATCTTCCCTCTCAGTTATGCTAATGTTCAGCAGCATACATGTGCATATGTAGGTCATTAGCAGAAAACACAGGTTAAATATATTCTGTGAAGTCTAGCATAACGAGAGCAAAATCATTTTCATGGGAGATATACTGAAGTTTTACAACTTTGTCATATGTTGCTTTGCAGGATTTTTTGGGGCAAGTATTCTGCACTCTTGGAGAGATAGTTGGATCACAGGGAAGTAGATTGGAAAAGTCAATAGCGTAAGTATATTATTTTGTCTTGGATAAATACTTGCTGCTTCATGAGATGAGGTCATTTTTTTCTAAAGTATTGAGGTATCTTGCTGACTTCTTGGCAAAAATTTAATTGACATGCCAAATAATTATTTCTTTATAGGTTTTTATTATTTTATTTGATATTTCAGGTAGTTATAAAAAGGATTAATTTAGTTAAAGAAATCTTAGCCTCCTTTTTTTTTTTCTTCCAACTGTGGGGTTTTTTTTGGGTTTTTTTGTGAGTATGTTCTTAGCAACTGTGACAACCCTCAGGCTGTGGCCCTTAAGTACTATTGCGCTGCACTGAGATTAGCACAGCTCACTTTCTCAGCTGCCTGGAGAGGACTGTTCTCACCTACCATGTCTCATTTAAGTTGTTACGAGCCCTTAATTTGGTTGAGCAGCATTTCTTGCTAGTGCTTTCCCATATCCCAGGGCATTAACAGTAGTAGGCCTCATACCACCATAAGGCATAATTTCATTCTCAGCTGCCTCCTCTCCAACTACCTAGCCCTTTGGCAAGGCCTTTTGTATATGCCAGGAGGAAGCATGGTTCCTGTGCTCTGCCTGTGTCCTTAAAGGTATGTGACCCCTTTATAATAGGGGTAATGGGTCCCCTATTACAGCAACATTTTGTTCACTCTTCAGAACTATAACCTTTTTTCTTATCACTGTCAGTGTAGGTATGGGAAAGAGCAGAACATTTTTATTATGGTCTTAACCTTGTTGGTAAGATAAATAGGTAGCTTTCTAGTTCTGTTTATAATTTAGCACCACTATTTGACTCAGATGATTGTAGGATTTTGTACTCTAGTCAACCTCCACATTTGTATTTGAGGATTTCATAATGAAGTAGATTAGTTTGTTTCCCTGTGGAAACAATATATCTAGATCTTATCTTTCTCCGACAATGTTAAAGTGTGTTCTATTTTGTCCCTGTTGTTACCTCTAGCTACAGCCTGGCTATGCCTAAAATTCAGCCAAGGTTTGAAATGCAGATGGGGTATATACGTGTCACTGGTGTCAGTTTGTATTTACTTTTCAATATCTTCCGAGGAAAATTATTATATTCTGCAGTGTTTAAAAGTTGTCTTTGGCTAAGTATGCTGATCTTTTATGTGCTATGTATAAATAAAATAAAGGTGGTGGTATTGATGAATTTGAGTAAATGTCAGTGAGAGGAACAGTAGCCATGAAGTTCATGTAAGGGTATCTGTAGATGAAACGGGCCCTACATTTGAAGTGGTGGGTTTTTAAAAGCACCTTTTCAATTTAGGGCCAATTAAACCCCTGTGTTGTGCACACACCCTGCCTCTCTGGTGGGAGGGAGGGGCGGGTGAGCTGCCGGCAGGCAGAGCGGTCCCTGGGCTGTATAGAGGGCTGGTGTTTCCCTCCACGGCAGCACCCGCCCTCAGGCACCTGGCTTGGGCAATCCTGGGGTGGCACTGCAGCTGTGGAGGGATGCACTGGGGTCCCACGCAGCTCAGGCAGGCAGGCTTGGGGAGGGGGCAGGAAAATCAGGCTCGCCATTTTCTTGGGCAGAGCCTGCCTTCCTGGGCTGCTGTCAGGCTTCCTGCAGGGCCTTCTGCAGAGCTGCACAGAGCCTGGTGCTTCACTCCGCGGCTGTAGGCGCAGCAAACCAAAACTCCTCCTTGGAGTTTTAGTTTGCTGCACTCCAAGTCATTTAAGGTGCTTTACGCCGTCGAATTTCCTACAGCGTCTGGAATTAATGTGCAATATGCTGCTGAGGTGTGCAAACACTGACACCATTAAAGCGGTACAAAAGCATTTAGCCTGCTTTAAAGTGTTGTGCACACACTCCTCATTTTGTCTACACGTGGCCTAAGAAACTACTAGGTTTAACAGATGCTTGCTAAAGATTCCATACTAGCAACATTAGATGAACCGAGAACTCCTCAACCTCAAATTTTGAATGTTTTCTCCAGAACGCAAGATATTGTATATGAATCTTTCCAGTGAAACTTACTTGTTGCGTAATGGTTCCATTGCTTGTTTCCTTTAGAAGATAAGTTGACCCACTTCTCTAACTTTATGGCATTTAGCTCAGCAGGATACCTTTCCAAGTTTTACAAGTATATCATCCTTTCAGTTAGTTACCATGTTGTCCTACTAGCTCCACATTATTATTTAGCTTATTTTAATAAAAGTATATTATGAGTTATATGGACTGGTGAAAACAGAGAGGACATTTTTGGTCAGTAGCAACGGTTTTATTCAGTCTAAAGCATCTCCCAAAAGAAATCTGTTTTGTAAGAGGTAAATGGGCAACCTGAAATTCAGCATTTTGTGAAACTGATCAACTAGAGCAGGAGTGTCTAACTCACCTGTCCCTACAGGCTGAATGAATGGTACAGGCCCAGTTTGCTGGCTGGATCAGCATGCCAGATCCAGTGTGTGTCCCAGAATGACCCAAGCAGGCACTACACACAGCATGGCCTCGGAGTGGATGGACTGGGCACCACGTGTGGCCTGGTCCTGGACTGGCCACCCTGGGACTGGACTGAGCACAGTATCCACTGGCCATGTTAGATTCATGCTGTTCCTGGCCCACCTGCTGGAGCATATATCCACTCCATGCCAGATCCAGCACATGCCCTGGAGTGGGTGGTGGGTGCCCTGGGGTAGCTGGCTTGGGATTGTACCACACAGTGCCCTATTCCAATACTTCAAACAGTGTCTGATCGGGCTGCTCGGGGACATGCACTGGAGTAGGTGCTGCATGCAGTGCATTTCAAAGCAACTGGAGCATGCATCCCATGCCGCGTGTGGGTCCATCTAACGGACTCTGCATGCTGTCTGTGGGTCCACTTGAAACCCACAAACAGCACTTGGAGCTGGATAATAAGGCTCCACGGGCTATATGTTTGACAACATTGAACTAGATCTTTGTCAGAGCTAGAAGGCAGCTTTGTTGAAGCTAGTGGTGAATTTTGATTATATAATTTGTTTCAGAATATTAACTTTTCTTTAAATACATTTTTATACAGATTGATGGGGGAAGATGAGAGTTATATATACTTCAGTAGGAGTGGTATGAGGGGAAACTTCTAGCAGAAGTTGTGTTCTGCAACACAGGCAGAAGCAGACAAAACAGTAGCTTAGCTATATTACTTCTATGTAATGAAGTCCCTGAATCAGGTCCTGTGGCTGCTTTAAACTACTTGCAGTTTTGGGGTGGAGCCAGACCTCTTAGAGAATGTCAATACTACAGACAAGGCATGACTGTTAGGTATATCAGAGTGAGCTTTAAACAAGTTATCTCAGGCATTGATAATAGTGTAACCTAGTTAGCATGTTACTCAGTATATGAGACAATGAGTAAAAATTCAAGCAATCTGGCCATGTGGAGTTCTATGCTGACACAGCTCCACATTGCTATTTGTACTCAAACATAGGTAGTTTAAAGCTAAGATGGGTATGTCCATATGAACTATAGTTACACCTTTTGAGAGCAGCGTAGATGTAACCAGACATTGGAAACTGAGGAAACTACATCTTGGTTTGTTACAAGGTTTTATCCAACTTTGCGGTAGTATTCTGGGGCAAAGATGACCATTGCCATCTTTGAGACCCCCAAAAGGGGTCCATATAGGGAAAGTATACAACATCTTTGGGGACAGATCACTTGCAATTCAAAGTTTCTCTGCCCAATTTTACTAATGCAACATGGAGACAAGGCAGAAAAGACCAAACTATAGTACTCTGCTGATTCCTGTAAGAATTTGGACAATAGCAATCCCACAAAAGGCATTCCCCCTCCTTTAAAATGAAAGGCCAGCTGTCAAACAGTTAGTATAATGTATTAAAAACCAGAGAACAGATAGGCTTCAAGAAGCTCTTTCTGCTCTTGAATAGTGTATTTTTAGATTTTAGTTCAGAATGTTCATATTCAATACGAGTTTGATTTTAGTATGCATTATTATGTAGTAAGCAGTGTTTGAAAACTTTAAGCAGGAACAGAAGATAATGACCCATTTCTTTTGCTTAGTTAGTTGTTAAAGGCACTTCACATGAGCGGTCCATTGTCTACAATATCTTTTAATTTGTTTGTAGGTGCAATACAAGGTGCTGATCTTAATCTTAGTCTCTATATGTTTTGTTGCCTGTATTACCTACACGTTGCTTACTTTACCATGTGTCAACCATGACATTAAATACCTGTTGTTGTGCTATGGCTAATAACTTGGATGTTTTCAAAAGCTTGGGAGGAGGCTGTTGTCAGGATACTTATTGGAGTTACAGACCTTATAGTTAATTAAAACTTGCTCCAGTGTTGGCCTTAAAGCCCTAGTTCAAATTCCAAGGTAAGCAAAATATGTTTACTTAAGATGTTATCTGAGGGGAATAGTTAGGAGAGCGTGCTTTGCTTTTACTATTATTCAGGTAACTGGTAATGTAACTGGTAACTTGTTTTTATGCCAGATCACTGTGATTATGAAGGTTATTTTTTTCAATACATGTAGTTGTTATTAGCATAAAGTTAAGCATAAAAAATTGTATCCCCCAAAACGAGTTTTTAAAATGATATTTTAGGGGTTTAGGTCTCTCTGATTTTCATACCAAGCTATTTCATTTGTAAATAAGAGTTAGCTTTTCTGTCATCCCACTCCCCAAGGATACATCCAGATGCTACAAGGAGTGTTTTGTACACAGGTACCTGAGTTTTTTCTGCACGTGCCATGTTTGGAACCAGAAGTGATACAGGTGCATTAACTGTGTGGCAGAGCACCCTGACAGATTTAGCTCTGATGAGAAGCACCACCACACTAACACAGCTATGCTGTTGTTGGCTGGAGAGCTAGTGTGGGTATCCCTGCACAGTACCTTGCACTGTATAAATACCATTTCATGAGCTAGTATGTACACAGTTAGGTTGGCATATCTCTGCAGCTGCTTTCTGCCTTGCAGAAATACTGAGAAACAAGACAGGTCCATTCACGTTAATATCAATTTTAAAAGGTTCT